GCCAAAGCATGGGAGAGAGGTAGATATCAGTGAGTGTTCTTCGAAAGAAGTTTCAGGGGATCTAAGCCACGACGTTTTGTCGGATTGAACCTTTTTAACATTGGTTTGTTTAAATACATTTTTTCACTTTACTTTGTTTTCTGCAAAATCACTGATAAATCGTGTTTATGAAACTATAAAAAAAAGATTCAAACTAAATAAAACTACAAATCTTAGCATTGGATTATTGAAAAACATTATGAACAAAAATCGCCTTGGTTTAAGACTGACAGGCAAAACTGAAATAACTCCGCCTGGGAGTATCGTGAAGATGCATAATTTCGATAAATACAGGACAATTATACTTTTTAACAGAAAGTAAAATTAAGAATCCGTTTCTGAATTAACGGATTTCCGATGAACAGCTGACAATTAGCGTGGGCAAATAAAATCTACTACCTAACGAATGACCTGGCATATTATAGATCCTTTTCATGATGATAATGACCTGACGTGGCAAAAGCTGCGTTTCGGTGTCTAGCCTGATGTCGGATATGACATTTTTGGATCAAAACGTCATTAATGCAAAATTCACTCATTAAAGCAGCAAACACTGTAATTTGATAAATTTGAATACAAAAATACATCCCGAAAAAACAACCATGCGTTAACGTTTCAAAGCCAAACTTTTTGTATGATTTGGCCAGGCTTTGAAACAACTATGGCTTCACTGGATCCGTAAAAATTTCGTCCAGAAAGCCAGAAACAAAATCAACACCATTTCAACGTGCATTGTGTTTACTGCAGGTCAATACTGTATTTCCTATTTAGGAAGTAAAAAAATCTGGAGAAGCAGAAACGCATCATTTTAAAGTGTTCGGAGATGCAACATTCAAGACGATGCGTTTTTTTATTGTTATGCATCACTTAACTTTGATCCTCTGAACAAGCCAGTAATAGACGACGAATCGCACCGACCATAACAAGACCGCTATTCATTGCGATTTCGGCCTTCTCTCTTTGTCTCTCAGAATGCAGGCATCCGGCTCATGGCATAATTTTCCCCCTGTGGCGGTATAAGACTGAGCGGCCAGCGAAGATTCAAGAGGTGATCATTCGCTGTCAATAAGATTAGCTACGTTGCCGACAAACCGCAATTTCTTTTTCTTGTTTTCAACATCTGTCGCTCTGGCCTGTTGTTTGATCACCGTTGCGGATGTGCTCGCGTTGTTAGGTTTCCAATATTCTTCTTTCCATAACTTTCTCAACTGCAAATAGCTGACGCTTTTCAACTATAGTGAGATACCACTTTTGACAACCATGTAACATAGTGGGCAAGAATAAGCTAGCCGTTTTTTCCTGATACTGAACATGCCAAAACTCTTCTTTATAATAGACACACTAGAGTATGCATATAGCAAACCTTTCTTCCTAAGCGAACACACTTCTCTTCCTTTAATAACAGGGGTCATTAGCATTCTCACAAAGTTATTCCAAACACTTCTGACCTCGTTATTAGCCTTACCGTGGCTAAATCATCACAGCAGGTTTCTCACCTTACCCACGCTATGGCTTCTTCAAAAATTCTCACTAACCTCATACCTGAAAACTACTGTACTAAAGCAACGAAAAGACACATTTCACATCAGCAAACGTCTGAACCAGCTGACTGCCACAAAACGTTGAATATCCACAGCATGCATATGGCAATTTACAATGAATATTTCTTTTTATCGTTGGCAGTATAGACAATTCGATAGAGAATGCACTCCATAAAACGTATCCAAAACCTGATTCTTAAAATGTACAGTGTTTTTTCGGTGATGAGTGTAGCATAAAACAACGTGAAATAATACGAAACAACAACTGAACAGCACTCAGAAGCAACGAACCTATGAACTGACCAAAAAGAACGGCCACGTGTCGGTCACAGAACTGATAAACATAAAATTGATAACATTTGCAAGATCAAAAACGAATATAAAAGGCAGCAGAAATCTGCTTGAAGTCGAACGGCTTCAATTAAAGAAGTCAAAAAATAAATAAAAAAGGACCGGCGTCGAGACGATACAACAATAAGTACAAAGTAATAGCTGCACAGGTACACGAAATTAACATGAAATCAGGCTTTAAAATGTCAAGTACAGAGCAGCCAAAATATCGTGAACGACAGACTGGCTAAGTGGAACGCAAAATCAGTCAGGCGATCGTGTTAGAACCTTTCTGCTGCTTCTTTCCCTTTCTCCCTCAGACGTCGTTTTCAGAGTCGCCACCTGCAACCTCACTTTGGCGACACTGACTATAAGACTTAGTAGTGGAGACACCCAATACCTCGTGGCGCTGGCGAATGCTACAGAATAAAATGGCCGAAGCAATAAGGCCAAATATCTAAAAATGGGTTCGTTCAGTTATACGGCTAGAAACTTCAACTGGTCACCAAAACCTGAATAAATGACAGCAGGATGCCAATGATCCCTACGACGTGCATGTGTTCCAAGAGCCAATCGGTAAACGCCTCGTAGCAGCCCTAGAATATGATAAAATTAAATAACATGAACTGACAAAAATCAACAATTATCACTAGTTTATGACGTTTGCTCGTATTCTCACTTGACAGAAACATACCTTTAATGTCAGGTCTCCCGACAACTACCCGCATCAGCATTTTCCGCATAATGGAGGGCCTGGTTTTACGGCAGCTGACAATAACGCGATCGTAAGAGAGAGAAAACATTTCTGTACTAAATATAGGACAGATACCCCACACTTCCATTCACTCCGGAAAGGTTTTGAGGTCCATATGCAATCAAAGAGGGCATAAAACATTCCTACCTTTTATAATCTTCCATATTTGGCTAATCCCGTGACAATTTAACCTACATCAGAAGCCTTGTTCAATCAAAGCTTTAGCAAGATGTTTTGAATTTCTGATCTGTAGATATATGTTTTCATCTCGTGCTGACAGAAAATTGACGGTGAGAAAAAAATCTGCAGATTAGCTGTCAAGAAGCTGCTGGAAATGGCCAATCCATTTCATCGCATTTCATCGGATCTAAAATGGTGCACGCTTGGCGTCTTGGATCAACACGGATAAGGTTCCCCGCTTAACAGATATTTCTAGTAAAATCTGGAACGCTTTCGCGACTCACTCTTTCCGACTGCTCTATGGATCTTCATAATTCCTCGATTCAGCCACAAGCTTGCTGTCTAGTCGGCGGTTTCAGTTAAGAGCATGAGCTCGTTAATACATTATATCAACGCGGACAACAAGGCACTGAACAATCTAGACCTGACAGCTCAGTATTTCATGCGCTAGGCTATCCAGAACGATTTCACTGTCATTCTACTCACTGTCTTTTATCGCAGAAACGACACGTTCTCAAAGACTTTTAAGCCTAACAGTGATCCCTCTAGTTCATAAAAAGCAGAAAGGCACATAAAGCATAATAAAACATCTTTTAAATATTGTGATTTATATAAGTTACGCCTACCCTCTGAAAAAGCAGTGATTGTTCGCCTAGCTTTCCGCAGTTTTCCATTGAATCGGTAGATTTGAAATGCGCAGGGTCACAACAGCTGTCGAGAACCCAGTTATTCTGGGGCCAACGTTCGGAACGAAACCAATCTTTATAGCTTTCCACGCCGCAGCATTTAAACTAAATAAAAGATCTACCACATTAAAATGAACATTGGTTACGATATAGCTAACTGATGTATCCGCTAAATCTTAAAAGCATCCAAATTGCACTATACAAAGATGATGACTGATCTTATGACGGATACTGGGCTTAAAATACAAACGGAACTTGTGCTTTGCAAAAGTTAAACTAAGGCACCTCCGTTCTGATCCAAGGATTTTAACTGTGTAAATTCAAACTACAGGGCAATAATCACTTGAAACCTTTCCATCATATATGAACAAAATTACCATCTTAAAATGAACATGTGCATACCTGAGATTGCAAACTGTCCCACGTCACGGGCAACCCATTGGAGTCTCTGGCTCGTTCGGCAACATATGGATTTTGAAGGTTATTCCGCAACTCGATCCGAATAACTTCTGACACCTGGAATACGATTGGCCTTACGTCAACAAATACAGCCTCAAAAAATCTTTACATTTATGTATTTACCTTTGTACTGATATGATAAATTAATGCACACAATTGCAAAAAAAATATTTATCCATGAAAATAGTCAACAAGCACCGCATCAGCATTCACACTCGAAATTTAGAGAAAGAACAAAGTTCTTCTCGTACAAGAAAACATTTCAGTCATGCGGTGATCACTGAGCTTAAGTGTGATAATACTGATTCAAAAACTACTGTAGCTGAGCAAGACGATTAGGTGTAGTCGAAAGTTGGTTCAGCTCCATGAGTTCCATGATCGGTGTTTTTTTCGACAAGAAAAATTTCTTCCTTTTCTCCTTCGAATTACATGACAGTAACTTCTTGTATACAGGGTATATTCACCACAGTCTATTAAAACAAGTTGTTGATACTTTAATCCTACATAACAAACAGAAGATGAAAGACTCGTCTAATATACAACCGCCGTGCGCACGCTCCTGTGATTCTGCAAAAAAATCGAAAGCGCAGCAGATAGCTGTAGTACGTACAACAGAATGCAGTTGCTCGTCTCTCTAGCATCAACATCAAACAGTACCATGGCATATTAACGATTTGAATTCACACCGGATGATGCTCAATTCTGCCAGATGCAGTGTTGCTTAGGTAATCGCTCAAAGATGTTTACTCTTTCACTGAGGCAAAGACGTATTTTGGCTCAATGACTCCAATTTTGGACGCCCACCTTCGCAGGTCAGCTCTTCCAACTTCCAGATGACATTCGCCTAATTCGAAGATCATTAGTATAATCAATGATTCTTTTTTATCCTTCATGTAATTACTACATTTATTTATTATCACGCTCCCACTAAATCCCGACCCTGGCACCTCATCGTGGTGTGGGAGTGGCTACGGCCAGAGCGTCGAAGCACGGCGGGGCACGTGTCCTGGCAGTTCCTAGCAAGCCGAGATGACGCAACACTGCATCTCTGGCCGGTTAAGTATGAGGGGTACCACTGACAGCCTGGACAAGCGAGTGATAAATTAACAGGTCTAATAATAATGAACAGAAAAAGAAAAGGATATGGGCCGTTGATGAAGAGGCTTCATGCGGCTGTAGCCCGCTTACCATAAACCAAGGAAATCCATAAGACAGGAAAAGGAGGATTTGCAACCGTTAGTATATCTTATGCTTTTACCACTGAACGCCACGTGTA